CCCCCCATCATACCATTCCATCCTCCTATGCATCCTAACAGTTCTTCTTTTGGAGATCAAGCATGTACCCCCAAGCCCTACCACATCTAAGCCCTCCCTGTGTGTGTACACCTCCAAGGGTAGAGCTGCTTACTGCGGCCTCAAGCCCTGGGTCCCTTTCCTAGCCCTGGCCAGGCCTAGAGTCTCTCTTGGTAGCATGCAGGTCTTGCTCTGCTTCACCCCAGCCAAACCACACGCTGCTAAGATTCTGGTCTCTCCCCACAACAGTCTCCTAGGTGCAGCCTCCTCTGTGGCCCTGGGCACTTCTCCCAGACACCCACTGATTCTTTAAGATCTGCCTGGTCCATCCTGGCCCCATTCTCCTGCTGTCTAGGAGGACCTGGACTGTGAGTGGCTGTACTCTTCCCATCTTGGCCCTGAGGTGGCTCTCTCATGAGGCCCACCTCCCATGCACTGTGGTAAGGCTGAGGTGACATTATGTCCCTAACTCTCCAGGTTCCTGATGGGCCTGGAGCTTTCTTAGCCTCACCGAGCAGCCCCGCCCAGTTTTTCTTTTGCTCCTTTGATTAAACACCTATTATAGGGCCCCTCCTGGGCTCCCCTGGCCTTGTGCTGGGCCCTGCCCTTCTGTTATTTATTCTGGCCCATGTGGAGCCAGCAGCCTGCCCATGTGCTCTCCTTTCTTCTCTGGAGACAGACCTCTACTTGTACATTTTCCCTCCGAGCTCCTTGTTTTCGTCTCTGTCACCCCAGGCTGGCCTGAGCCCCATCTCTGTCTTTCTTCCCAGCTGGCGTGTATGTTATCTTTTCCCACCCACCCACCTCTCTCTGGCTCTATTTTCCTCCCTCCTCCTTCCCTCTTTCCTGCTCCTCCCAGCCATCTACCTTGCCTCCCACCCCATGGTCTTTCTCTCTGATTGTTTCTTTCTCTTCCTTTCTTCCTTTCTCCTCTCCCCCTTCCCTCTCTGCCCCTATCCTCTCCCCTCGGGTCCCGCCCCCGGGAACGCCGTGTGTCCAAAGCTGTTGACTAACCCACTGCGTCTGTATCTGAATGCTGTCTCCAGGTCAGAGCCGGGGCTTCGCCTTCGTCGAGTTTAGTCACTTGCAGGACGCTACACGATGGATGGAAGCCAATCAGGTTGCTTTGCCGCACTTGAACCCCCCCCCAAACAAATACTACTTTGTAATCGAGCGCTCCCCATCGCCTGATTCTTATGGACACAGTTCCCTGCCCTGTGGCCCTGTGTCCCATCCCCCCCATCCCCTCTCTCTCCCCCTTCCTGACCCTCAATATCTCCTCTTCCCATCTCTCGCTACCCACTGGGCTACCCATCAAGAGCCCACATTCACCACTTCCCCCTCCCCTGCCAGGCACTAGCTCTGCCCCTCCACCTCTCTGGGCTGAACTTTTAGAGAAAAGGCTACCAGGGAGGGTCTTCCACTTATGTTCCCACTCCCAGGGGGACTGTCCTGCTCTGGGGTTAGGCAGAGCCAGTACTTCGTTCCACTCTCAGGCACCGCTGGATCCAGCCACAGGGGAACTTAGCTGTTGGCATACTAACTAGCAAGTCCCGTTTAGCCAGCTCTCCCCACAAGTTCAGCCCTTTGATTCCCACGCAAGAGGCCAGCACTGCTCCATTGATCTAAAGTACCAGTCAAGTGTGATGGTTTCATTTACCAGGGCTCACCTGGCTGCCCCATTCCTCCCACTGCTCCTGCCCTCCCCCC